AAAGTAATAAAACACATCATATAGAAAATTCTGTGAGTCTGGTTAATTTGATGGATCCAAGGAGTTTGTGAAAGTACCATCGTTGCTTCTTTTAGCCATTTGCGTCTGTCTTGTCTATATTCTCCAGTGTTATTTTTTTTTCTTTAGAATTTCTGTGGCAACAAGCTCAGAGAAACTCAAAAACATTCTCCTAGTCAAGACTGTTGACAAAAGCAATATTTTCTAAATTATTTAGCTGATTCACTCACAACCGATAAAAATTTATTAACTCTATTTTTTTAAATAAAAATATTATATGCCTGATAGCAAATACTTAAGCTTTTTTTTTTTCCCCTCAAAGAAACATTTCAAAACACTATAGTACAGAGTATAGCTTCCAAGATTAGGGAGGAAGGGGCAGACAGTTTTTAATACCACCCATTAGGTGTGGGACTGTTGACACATGGTAGATATCTAGACTTCAGGGTTTTTTCCATCAGAATAATGGAAATAACAATCAATGCCATACTAACTCACAACATGATTGTGTGAATCTAACGAGATCATATGCGTGACAGAAACTTGTAAAGAAAAAATATCATAAAAGGAAATTGAAAGGAAAAAAAACACCTTTCCTTTTTCCTGTTTTTGCACTTATAATACAGAGTATTGATACCAAATGATCTAGACTACCCAGGAAAATACTTATCTGATGAGCTTTTTCCAAAAATATATTTTATAATTACTATGATAGCTGTATTAAAATAAACATATGCAGGATTTCAATAATTATAAACCACAGCTCACAGCTCCAAAAATATTTTTTGGAATGTACACAACACAGATTGGCCAGTTTAAAATATTTCAACAGTTAAAAGAAAATAGCATGACTCAGACCTGAAGAGGCATACATGATAAACGCTGTAGCACTTGAGCATGTAGTGTCAAGGAAAATTAGTCAAGGACAAACCGCCTTCAAGCTTGAAGAAGACATTAGTTCTATGCAAAAGCTTTCAGGGCTGCATTTTCTGAACAACAGAGACCTCAAGGGCCCTTAGAAAGATCAGTCATGCACCATTAAAACAGGACACATCAGTTGGCTTTCAGAACTGGGAACAAAGTATCTGCAAGGTTAAGCACCTCTTCTGTACAGTGTTCCAGTAAGCTCCATTTTGCTTTTACCTATATATAACCATGTGGTTTATTTCTTAAATCTATTGTTTTGTGCTCTCTAGATTCAGTATTCCATCTTGGGGAACAATGAGCCTTTTGTAATGGCATGAAATTTCAAAAGCAAAAGCCAAATGTCTCCTAAACCAGGTTCCCTTACCTATTGTCAAGGAAGACCAGTGTTTACCCATCTTATAAAGCCCAACCTGTTTTCCTACCCAGAGAAAAGAGACCCCACCAGCCTCTGTTAATATTATGATGAGTCAGCTCAGCAATTAGGAAAGCTTTGTGAAGGTTCAGCCTAGATCCAGGATCTTCCTTTCCTTTTGTTCCCTTTCTGATGCCAGGGGATGCACTATCCACAGGTGTGAAGCCTCAGGACCCTAACTGATCCTACTCAGCCCCTTCTCTTCAGAAAGTGAGCACATGCGCCTGGTGGAAGTCACACTTCTGCAGAGGCCCTATTTCCCAACTCCTTCATCAGCCTTTTTTATTCCCCTTGAATTATCTAAAATCAATAATGATTCCTTTTGAAAGTCACGTGGAACAAAAATGACCACGAACACTGTGATCTTAGTTGATCTACTCAAACTCTGTGACCCTCTGTTCTTTATCTGTAAAAAATGGCCACTCATTAAATCTCAGAGATAATATTTCAGAGACTTTATATGCAATAATAACACCCCCCTGACCCCGTATGTACAGGGCTACATTGGCAACTTCACATTTTATGATATGTGAGCCTTACAATAACACTTTCAGGTTGACAGGGTAGTTGTCCCAACCTCCATTTTCTAGATGTGTATTTAAAACATCCTCATCTCTAAGTCCTTCCCAGTTTTGATGTGCTGCATTACTGTTTAATAGAAGAAGAGAAACTGAGGCACAAAATGGTGAACTAGTTTCATAAGGACCCCCAAAACACTTCTCTCTGAGCCTAATGCTACATAATTTGGTTTTCAGAGTAAACAGTGGGAATATTTTAAGAGTAATGGGCAAGGTCATATTTCTTTTTTTCCTCCCAGTGTTAAATGGGTACAACTGCAATGTAAACAAGCAAATAGCTAAGCCACGTTAAAAAGAAAAAATATGAAAAAATGATATATTCTTAAAAAGCCAAAGCTCAAAAGCAAAATGGCTTCTGTGTTAAGCTTGTGTTATCATAGCAATTCAACATTTATTTTCACTTCAATTTATTACATTTCTCCCCTAAAATAGGAGTCAAATAATTTTAATTGCTTATTTTATGCAAAACATACAATATTTACTTACATAATTTAACTGTAATCTATCATGTGTTCCCCAGAATTTTGTATTTAGGTGCTATACACATGTACACACACATATAAACAGAAAGCAATATGTATATGTGTGTGTGTGCTATCAGAATTACCTGTTGTATGGCATCTATATGTATAGTATAAGTTATAAACACACACACATACTGTGTGTGTATATATACATATTTGTTTTTCAAAGGCATTCTTGTTTACTGAAATTATTCAGAACTTAACCCTGAAGAGAGTTCATGATGGCAAATATTGGAAATCCATTCATAAAAATATAATTCATTCATAAATTACAATGCTTAAGAGTGAAAATATTACAAATCCTTAAAAAAGCAAATCCATATAGCATCCCTTGCATGCAATTACCTCTACTCTATTCTATATTCACAGAATGTAAATACAGGGTTAATATCATGAAGTAGAAGTCAGTGATTGAATTGAATAATTACATCCATCCAAGAGATGTTCTTTTTGTGTGTGATAGCCTGCTTGATAATAATCCCTTCACAAACCTACCTAGATCTCAAGTGAATTTTGGGATTAAAACTTAATTTAAAACTTGGTTAAGAAATTCCTTGAACTCTCTAGAGAAAATGTCTAAAGTAAATGCAAAAATAATATCATCAAAGTCAGTCAAAGCAACACTTCGTATTTTTCTCAGAACACAAACATCAAATTCATAGAATTATTTGGCCAAAAATGTTCACTTATTACATTTACAATGGGTCATTTATACTATGTCTTAATTTATGAAATCATTATCTATATTTGCTTCTTTGAAATAGTTTCCTAAAATATTGTCAAGAACTGATATTTATCTATATATATGTGTATGTCAGTCTGATAATATATATACACACTCACACACATTCAACATCTAAAATCTGTTGTATCTATGTTGAGTATACAAAATATTTCTTAATTTTCATACATTACTCTCAAGAAACAAGTACATATATCATTATTTTAAATATTAAAATAGTTGTAACAATAGTTCCATACTAAAGTGGGAAACTGTTCAACTTCACAATGTTATTGTACCTCTTGTTTCCATGGCAAGTCCTTTGCTCCCCTGAACTAGTAACCATGGACTCACTGCCTTAGAGAGGCTTGGACAGAGTGTAATCAAATGGTCTTGTTGTTCATTTAAAAGATTGAAGCCCAGTCTCCCAAATTCTTGACTTCTCCACTGTCAGCCCAGTAGTTAGCGTTAGAGCAGGAAGTAAAAGATGGGTCTCCTGGCCCCATTCCAGCATTCTTTCAACTATCCTATACTGCTGGCCACTATTCTAAATCAACTGACACAAAAATAACACTTCACACACACACATGCACACACACACAAACACACCCCATATACACACTGCATGTATAAACACCAACATGCCTAAGCCATTTGCTTCAGTCATGCTATTTTAAGAGTCAAACTACACTTTTTATGATTTCCCAGCACTACAAATAAAAATATCATTGTCATTTTGGCATGATAATGACAAGATGACTTGTTGGCTATGGATGTAGGACACAGAAATAATTGCTTAAAATAGGGGGGAAAATCAGTATTAAACTGATTTTGTCTTCTTAATGTCTCACAGTGCTTTACTAGATATTTTCATTCATTTTTACTGAAGGTGTTTATAATTATAAACAATAAAAATTAAAAGATAATAAAGAAAATATTTAGTAATATCTAGGTAACATATCATGGTTCCAATTTGCTCATCACTGTAACAATAATACAGAACACTGTCAGAAAAAGTAATTTTCCTACTTAATCAAATTTTTATCTATAAATAACAGATTCTAGAGCCTACATCTGTGTTGTCCTACACAGTAGCCACCAGCCCCCTTGTTAGGCCCTTGAAATGTGGCTAGCCTGAATTCAGGTATGCTGTAAATGTAAAATACATAGCAGATTTCAAAGACTTTACCCCCCAAAAAAGAATGTAAAATAATCTCAGTTTTATACTGATTATATATTGAAATGATAATATGTATATAAATAAAATGTATTATTGAAATTAATGTGACCTATTTCTTTTTACTTTTTTAACGTGGCTCTTAGAAAATTTTAAATTACAAATGTGGCTTGTATATGAGGTTCACACTATATTTCTATTGTTCGTCCCTGGCCTAGATCATCCACATGCTAATCTTCCTGTCTGAAATATCTCATTTCGTCAAGTCCAGAACCTCCTCTACATGATCAAAGGCTACATTGTCCTTGAACCCTTTTCTGATCTCTCCCATCCGGAAGTGAGTCCTTGTCTCTAACCTCCATCAGCATCTTCCTTCTGGCCTTGCCCATTCTACCCTAACACCACTACTAGGATGCAAGTTACTGGCAAATAAGTTCTATATATGTCTTTATGTATGTCTGTGACTTGCAAAACAACCACATGGAGCTTTAGTAAAGCATCAGTGAACTTTTACTAGACAAGTAAGCAAATAAACTTGTATACAGTCAATTTGTTCTCAGTTCACATTTGTTCATATAAAGCTGTCTTAAAAGATCAGAATTTTCTAAAGTACCAGGTCTATGTCTAGTAAGAGGATACGTACCAGCTGACTCTCAGATACCGTAGAAGATGGTGAGGCGAGGTTTGCCTGCAAAATTATAAACATAGTGTTTATTTAGTGAAATACATAATTTAGTAAGATATCTATGTTTTTAAGTATTCTGAAGTTTTTTATTGCTAAAATAATACATGTCCCTTGTAGAATTTTGAAAGGTATTAAGTAAAAGAAAAAATATCATTATGCCACCAAAAAATGATTTTTTTTACATTTTTGGTACATTGCCTTACAATATTTCTCCTACACATTTTTATTCAGCTCACATAATAGTAAATATGATGTTTTCTATGTTGCTTTTCCTTAGCATCTTAACACAAGTACTAGCATAAGGCATCAAAAATTCTTCAAGGTGTAATATGTCATGCTCTGTATACTCCATATTTTACCCAAACTTACCAGCATTGTTAGCTACTTATATTTATGTACAGCAAAATGAAACAAATAACAGGTTTTTTCATTAAATTACTCAGAAAATAAAGTTTTCATGGTTTCATGAAAAAAAATTTTTAATTGCTTTAAATTAAAGAGGAGGCTAATATTGTTTCATCATCCTTGGTTCCTGAATTTCACTCCTTTCTTCTGGATTTAGTTTTCTTCTTGCTGAAGTAAATGCTCTGGTAGTTTTTTTCAGAACTTCCTGTCTTGGGCTTTGTCTGAAAATGTTTTTATTTTGTTCTCATTCTGAATGACAGTTTACTTGGACATAGAATTCTAAGGTAATAGTTATTATTTCCCAGCATTCTGAGGACTGCCCACCTGCTCTGACTTCTGTTACTGCTGTCAATGTAAACGTCATAACTTGGATCATCCGCCTTCACATTTGCTTAGTGTTTAAGATTTTTCTCCATGACATTCTGTAATTCCACTATGATGTGTCTGAGCATGGATTTCTTTTTATGTATCCTTTTTGGGGGCTTGGTGTAGTCCTTCATTCTGAGAATACATATCTTGCTTCATTTCTGGAAAATCCTCCAGGAATTACTTCAAATATTGCCTCTCTCCCATTATATCTAATCTGTTCTTTGGAGCTTTGATTAAATATATGTTGGGTCTTCTGAATCCATCCTCCATCTCTATAAAATTCCCTGTCATATTTTTTATCTCTTTATGCTGCATTCCAGATAGTTTCCACATATAAGCCTGATGGTTGACACATTTTTCTTCAGCGGTATATTAGTACATTTAACATGGCCATTGAACTTTATATTTTAATGACATTATTTTTAACTTCTAGAAGTTCAGTTTGGTTCTTTATCAAATCTTCTTTATGGTATCCATAAATCCTTTTAACTATTTCAACATTTTATTATATTTATAAATTCATTCCAGATTTTTCTATAATCTCTCTTGGCTAAATCCCTTGTTTCTTGTATCTGCTGACTCTCCTTCATGCCTCTGCCCCATGATGTTCTTTACTCATTTGATGGCTTTTTACTTTTGATTTTGAGCTCCTCTTCAGTCAGGGTAATTTCAGTGATGATTTCTGTAGGTATCTGAGAAACCCTGGGTTGGGAAACCATGCCTACAATACATTTCACGTTTGCCCTAATGGGGGGCTCAGGTATTTCACTGATTCTGAACCAGTTTCCATTTTATTTCATCACCCTCATATTCCTGAACTTACAGGGTGGCAGGTCCCCACATCTTCAACTTTCACAGGTTTAGGACCCATTTTCTCATGGATGACTATATTACCACCCAAGAATGTAGATTAAAGATGGAGGGAGGATTTATGTCTATTTCTATCACATGCTTCATGGCCATGTGGCCTTCTAGGCTCCTGGATGCACACAAAGGATTCATCCACAGCTCTGACTCATTATATAGTAAAAGTTAAACTCTAAGCTCCTGGCTACTGTCACCTGGGTTCTGACATACCTGTGTTCCCCCAGAGCTTAAGCTTCTTCTTAACTTTCCCACCTGGAGCTCCCTCTTCATTTCTTTTTTTTTTTTTTTTTTTTTTCTTCATCTCTGATACTCACAGTTCCTCTTTCTTTCTTGTAGATTGGGTTACATATATACTTTTTAATAGTTATGTTTTCTCAAGCTTTTCTGCCCTTGAATGGGAGACCAGGCTTCCACATCATGGAAGTGGTCAACATACAGACGCACAATCATAAATATACCTGGCTGACACATGATAAAGTTCTGTTCCTACACTATCTCTATTCTTTTTGAAATTGCAAATATTTTTGGGGTTATGACAGATGTGTCAATATTGCTTTTACTCTCTGAGAAGTGAGTGATAACTGAAAGCAGAGTGGTTCCTATGGTATCGCCAAGTACCTAAGAGTGTGAGTCACCAAACATAACGACCAGGTGCCTACTGTCCTCATACTGTGTCCAACATGGTTTGTTTTTTATTTTTTGACTTATAACGTTCTTCACCAGGATGGTCACTGCTCACTGCCATCCCTGCTTGCTCTACAGCAGCAGTATGTCTTGGCTAATTTCTCCCCACCTCTAATTGCTGTGGACCAGGTCACCATGCACTGAGGTTCATGGTTATTCTGTGCTGCAGAAAATTACCCTTCAGAATGCCTATCCCAGTGATTTTTCAATTCACCTAGGGTTTCATTTTTAACCTCATAATGTAATATGAGTAGTAGCGATTTCTTCTAATGTCTTAGGATCTTTTCCTTTTGGTTAATTCTTCATTATTGCAGTAATGAGAGAATTCTCTATGAATTCCCTAAGTTAAATGACTTCTATGAAATATGCTGAACTGAATGTATCTTGACAGGAACAAAATATAGTTATATTTTTACCTCAATACTTATAGGAAAAAAGAAGTCACACACTAAAAATAAAGTATTTGTACAATTTAACTATATTACTAACATTTTTCAGTACTTTGTGCTAAATAATACCAAACTATCATAGGGAAAAAAGAGAAAGTGCTCAGGCAAACACATTAATTAAATTAGGGAAAAACACAAATATCTTAGTATCCAGTCTCCATAAGTCCCCAAAATTTCTTCACTGGGAATTATGACATAACAATAAGGCGATTTAGACATCTCCAGTACATTTTTATTTCATCTAATATAATGGACTTCATATCACTATTATGATAAACTATTCCCAGAGGGAAAAACAGAATTAAATTTGAACCTCAGGGTGGAGTTAATATTTATAAAGCTACTGCAGATCCTTTATCAAAGAAAAAGAATATTGGCTTATGTGTATCATCACAAATATAACCAGATGCTTTCAACTAACCCAGTTGTGTCAAACTCTTTGAGAAGCTTCCCTCTGCTTGCCCAATACATGTTCATGTTTATTAAATTCTGTAGTTATAGTTATGTTATCAATATTGCAGCAATGATTTTTGAAAAGTAAAGAAAGATTGTCTGGTGAGCTGAGATTGGAACAGTGAGTAGCAAGAGAAGGCTACTATATTTAAAAAACTGCCAATTGGTCAACTAAACTAAGGAAGAGAAGCAACATGAGGTACCTAAAACTAAACTTGAAATTGGACTTGAACAGCACTGATGTTTTTAGTCATTTGTTGTATCCACGCTAATACTAACCAAGAAGAACGTTAGAGATGAGTATAAGAATGACTCTTGTGTGAAATAAGATCCCATAACCTATATTCTACAGCCTTTGACATCATTTTAATTACAAAAGAAAAAATGTGAGAGGAAGATAGAGTAGGAGGATTTTAACCAGCATATCACCATTAAAAAACAAACAAAACTTTAAAACAAACAGAGCAGTCAAAAAATTGGGAAGTCAAAATTTCGCATTTCAAAGAAAACCTATTAAAGCGGTAGGTTATATGCAAACTGAAAGAGTTAAGACTAAGGAAAGAAATGAAGATTTAAGATCCACTGAAAAATAAGTTGCTACACAAAGCCATCACTTAGGCCAAGCCCACTTTGGAGAAACCATTTTCCTCTTCCAAAGACCTCATGCCAGAGGCACATAAAGTATATCCAAGCTCCTCAGTTATTGTCTAGAGTTGCTTTTCCTTGCAATCTGCAGCTTTTCCCCATTCTCGACTCATGGGTGTCAGGCATCACACTAGCAGACACCCTTTTGGGAGATTGGAACAAAATCACATTGTATCGGGTAAAAAGTGTTGAACAGTTACTTTCTACCCTATGCACTTCTACTTTGGGCAATATTATTTTCCCTTTCAGCAGTCATGTCCCTCCTCCCTGAATATAACATCCAATGCAATAGGATTAAAATGTTTCTCTTTGACCTTTTCCCTGTTGACTTTAATTGTCCTGAGTTTTCTTTTCTTAAGGCTCAAAAAACTCTAATTAGTGATAATGTGTTAATTGAATTATTTTAGTTCTCCCAGATAAGACTGATCTACAGACAAGCAAAAAGGCAAAACTTAAAATATCAACAGAGCCCCAATAATCCCTGAGTTGCTGAGCTTGGCATTGAGGAAATATAAAATTATAAGATGATAAGACACTGTCTTATCCTTTAGCTAGAGAGCGTTCCTGTTATTTGTACATAAGGCACTACTCAAAAGATTGAATTCAAAAGAAGATGAGGTACATATATACAATGGCCTATTACTCAGCCATAGAAAAAATGAAATAATGCCATTTGCAGCAACATGTATGGATCTGGAGATTATCATACCAAGCAAAGTAAGTCAGAAAGAGAAAGACAAATAACATATGATATCACTTATAAGTGGAATCTAAAATACAACACAAATAAACATATCTACGAAACAGAAACAGACACACAAACATAGAGAACAGACTTGCAGTTGCCAAGGGGGAGGAGAGGTGGGGAAGGAAAGGATTGGAAGTTGGGGATTAGCAGATGCAAACTACTCTATATAGAATGGATAAACAGCAAGGTCCTACTGCATAGCACAGGGAATTATTCAATATCCTGTGATAAACCAACATGGGAAATAATATGAAAAAGAATCTATACATGTATAACTGACTCACTTTTCTGTACAGCAGAAATGAACACAACATTGTAAATCAACTACACTTCAATAAAATTTTAAAAAGTTGAATCCAATGGTGAGCATGGTAGGCACTAAG